TGTTACATGAACGAATGACTAACCCATGATGGACCGCTTATTTGCAACGTCAACAAAACAGACTATATATCAATTGTTTCCACTTGTTACATATATACCAACTGCCCAAGATTTGATTCTGAAACATATTTCATGTAATTAACGGGAAATAATTAGCGATGATAATGTAACAAAAATTATATCCAAAGGCATTATGAAAAATAAATGTATACATTAATTTATATTATTGTAAAACAGTGATTTGGTGATGTCATAAGTAAATATTGTACCTTTAATAATTGAGTGCGTTTTTTAATGGTTTTCACAATTATAATTTTTGGGAAATAAAACCCACAGTTGTAGTATACGATTAAAATTGCGAACGTTCGTTGCAGTAAATTGCCCCCCATTTCAACTGAAATTCCGTGAATTACGTTTTCTAAAAATTTGAATTAGACATTTTCACTATAAAAACATATTTGTATCAAAACATTTGTAACGCCTTGTTAAAATAACCTTTTTCCTGGGTCACACACTCTGACATATAGTATGTCTGACAAAGTACTGTATAACAATGATACACTTCCCTTGAACGAAGATAAGTGGTAAATGTTTGTCATCAGTATTTTGTCTCAAAAATCTATATTACTGAATAATTTTCACTATTTTATGAAGTTACAAAACAGTTTATTTGATCTCTACCAAAATATCTGCAATTATTACGTGAAAATGTCGATGTTGCAATCGTATTACCGCATACATTTATTTTTCTGCATTCTCTGGAACTTCAGAAATCTCAAAATACAGTTCAATTATATTAAAGATGCTTCCAAAAGCCTTACTATTCCCAATTATATGTTAAAACTGTCAGTAAATATCATTATTAAAAATTTAATTTAAGATGTTTAATTATTACCTCTTTGAGCTATTAAGACTGTACGCAAGCTTGTGGCATAATTATTACTGATGAGTAAGTCCTTTTAGACGCGGTTTCTATTAGGACATTAAAAGTATGCTTAGGTTCAATTTTAAGAACTAGTGCTAAAAGCAGTAGTGAAAAGATGCTCAAATGTTCAGATAAAACGGTGTTCACAATGAAAACAAAATACTTTCGTCTGGTCGCATCAATTACTTCCGACCTTAATAGAACATACACTATGTGATCAAAAGAATACGGACACACGCCTGAAAATGACTTACCAGTTCGTGGCGCTCTCCATCAGTAATGCTGCAATTCAATAGGGTGTTAGTCTTCTTGACAGGTTCTATTCTCTCAGGCATACTTCAATCAGGTGCTGGGAGGTTTCTTGGGGAATGGCAACGCATTCTTCACGGAATGTTACTCTGAGAAGAGGTATCGATGTAGGTCGATGAGGCCTTGTACAAAGTCGACGTTCCAAAACGTCCCAAAGGTGTTTGATAGCTCTCAAGTCAGGACTCTGTGAAAGCCAGTCCATTACAGTGATATTATTTTAGTGTAACTACTCTGCCACAGGCCGTGCAGTATGAACAGGTGCTCAATCGCGTAGAAAGATGCAATTGCCATCCCCGAATTGCTCTTCAACAATGGGAAGCAAAACTGTGTTTAAAACATCAACGTAGGTCTGTGACGTGATAGTGCCACACAAAACAACAAAGGGTGCAAGCCCCCTCCACGAAAAATCACGACCACACCATAACACCATTTTGGACGTGACCGGATACTTTTGATTACATGGTGGGGTTATTTGAAAATCTAAGCTGTCGTCCTGGCCGTGTGCATCCTCATGTTTCTTTTATGATTTCTTTAATGTATTGAGACTTTCTTGTTAACATTTGACGCGTCTCGCTAAATTTATATTTTTCATTATTTATTTTCGGGTACGCCTTTGGTGTTTTCCTGTGACAGTAATGCTTTTTAAACTTATTTTAAATATTTTATTTTGTTGCACAATGTTGAAGAGCATGCACATCCTTTGCTTTCCCTGGTTTTCCCCAGCCATTTAAGGTAAATGCTGGGAGGTTTTTTCTCTCCCTTTTGTGTGCGAGACTTGTCTAAGTTGTATTTTATTTTGTTTTCTAAATGTACTGTTCATTGATCTACACTTTTATGTATTACGTGGTTGGATGGAAGAGCGGACACGATGGCCCGAGTCCCGCCACATAAAGTCACTATTATTATTATTATTATTATTATTATTATTATTATTATTATTATTATTATAAGTAATATTTAAAGTGATCTCAGAGCTCAAAAAAGTGTTCAGATTGTTCTTCTCCCCCATATACAATTTTTACTGTCCATTGGTAAAATAAATTAAATATAGTCAAATTCAAGCCATTTTCCAGAAAATGTTGATAACGTCATAGGAACTTCATGTAAAATTCGTCCAAAAATTAAAATGCCTCAATGTTTTCTCGAGCGTCACAAGTAGATTTTACTCCTGACGTATATACAAAGTGTCGGCGCTTATGCTTCTAATCTGATCCTGCACCTGCACTAATATTAACCATTTTTAGAACAGCACTAATATACCTTAATTCTGCCCCGTGTGCGGAGTTACATCTGGAAAGAACGGTAAACATAGATTGTTCGACCTATATTCGAGATCGTATTATAGAGGTTATTCCAAATAACAAAAAAATGAAGTCTTAGAGTAAACAACATTACACACTTCGCTTTGGCATTTGCACCCGCTGTTCTCATTGCGCCGCCCTGGACGCGGATCGGATCGTTGCCCCAGTGGTCTCGATTGTCGAGGCACAGTTCAATCAAGCAGTTGAAGGAAGTCAAGAACCACTCGACCCGAGGGACGCCTCATGACGCATCGTTGTTTTTTCTACTCCGTTCCTCAAAACGCCTTCGAAGGATGCGATTATACGTAGCCCACACAGTACATTTGCATCCCTCCAGAATGGCCAAGAACGTTCGGCAAGTGCGTTAGCGTATTGAGTCGTAGGTCCTCAACCAAGCTTCATTGATCGAATCATTGTTATAGACGCGATTCCCGGCGTTTAAGCATTTTCCAAAATAGCTAGGTAGCTGGGTCGGACGATGAGTTTTCGACAGGTCCGCTGCTGATCGTTGATCAAATCCAGGCGGATGCCGGGGCAGTGTCTTGAACAATGGGCCTTGTATGGTACGTAAACTTTCCTTTCGCATTATTGCTACTCCCTTTCCTAGTAGCGGACGATAAAGAAAGAAAAACAGACAGGAATAGTCAGTCAAAAATGGAGGAAGAGGATGACAGAGATAGACAGAAGAAAGGGAGATAGAGGGAGGTGAGAAACAGAGGGAGAGGTGAGAGGCAGAGGGAGGTGTGGTAAACAGACGGAGAGAAAGGAGGTGGTCAAGAGGGTGGGAGAGAGAGACGGAGATTCTTGATTGCTTCCAATATCTTCAGTGCCTTTTCCACGTGGTAAGAAATTATTTCGTTATCATTTCAAATCTCAAATACTAAGAAACACATGATGACGTATAAATTTATTTTATATTACTACATTTTGAAAGGTAGTAATGGAAGTCAAAAGAAACAAAAATATTTAATGGACGTAAGAATTTTTTCACAGTGACAATGCTGATGATTTATCTCTTTTTAGATATTTCAGGTTGATAGGAATCGCCAATATCCAATATCGTTTCCTTGTTAACAAACCATGAGAATAACTTGTACAGTTTGATTCGTGATTTTTGGAACATAGCAATTCAGATTGGGACATAGTAATTTTATAGCCGTGGTGCCACACGACACGAAACACAATTCAGAGTGATGCAATGTCGCGCAATCGGGTGTCTCATGAAGTCACTTAACACAAAACGATATGGTGCAAAATGACAAGTCACAAGGGATGCGATGCGAATGTATGCGATATTGTAAGTACGGTACAATTCAATGTGTTACGATGCGATTAGATTCGATACAATGCGATGCGTTGCGATTAGATGCAATTCGACGCTATTAGATGTATTGTGATGCAATGCAAAGCGATGCGATGAGATGCGATTCGCTAGGATGCAATCCGTTGCGATTAGAAATATTGCTATTAGATGTGACGCGGATACGATACATTTAGATGAAATGCAATGCAATGCGAAGTAAATCATCGCATAGCATCTAAGTAGCCATGTCGTACCTTGAGCCAATGTGGAGTCCAGATACGACGTAATGCAACTTCTCTCAGAAACTAATAGGCGTCTAAAGTGAAATATTGTTTAATGAGATTAAACTCCAGCTCAAAAGATATCACCGCAGCCTTTGGGTGTCTAAAGTTTCGCTGTTATTTCCAAAAAAGAACAGTTAGCTTTATGTAGTTTTTTCGTGAACCTGACAGGGCTGACACCTCCGAAAAAAATTTTGTCTTTTTTCTATGCATTTAGTTTCTTTTAGCGTTTCAAATTCATTTAAGAATTCATTCTAAAAATGCTTGACGAGGGATTAAAACATTGATAAAATATTATCAATCCAAGGCCTTAAAAATAGAAAAAGTCAATATTATTTTTTAAAACATACCCATTAAAACAATCATAAACACGTATAAAAAAATTAAAAAGTAATGTCGAAAATGCACTTAAAACAAAATGTTTGACCCATTGATTGGAGTCTTCAAAATAAAATCTTCATATCATAATTAAGAACAGGAAGTCCAGTCAACAAATTGGAAACCGGGTCTGTTTGCACAGTAATATTTAAGAGAAATAAAAATAGAGAGAGTTTGAAAAGGGTTAGTTACTTGAAACTAACAGGTCGAATCGACCACCTTTTGAATTTGTTTCACTTCCTGCTCTTATTCATGAAGCGAAATTTTATTCATTTATCATGCTCCTGATGAAGGTCCCAGCCAAGGTATCGAAACGTTAAACTTAACATTTATAACTTCGTAGTTGTGTGTTTATGGTTCTCTTAATGTATTTGTTTCAACAAGTGATATTGATTGTGTTTATAAATAAGGCATTGAGATGATAATGGTAAAATATAGACATTAAATGTATTAATAGATTAATTAAGACATTTAATGTATTAATTATTTCTTTTCTTTTGCAGGTTGGGCCAAATGTGCCAAATCCTGAGCGTCTAGAAGGGGTGGTCCGTTGTAGGCGCACCGACCTAAGAGATTCGTGAACCGCTGACGTGGCCAATCTCCCTGTGCAGCTGTGCCGTAAAGAAGGGATAGACTTGTCCTCGAAGGGCTTTACAGCCTCCTTCGATTCCCGAGAGAACATCTTTTCAACAATTCTTCGGTGAAATATATTTTAAATACTGTTTATTTTGTTGACAACTCGTCCAAATATGAACAATAATTCAATATAGACATCATAATCAAAATGATATCACTTTTGAACTACGAGGCTTCATCGTATTCATCACGATGTTACATTAAACGTGTAATATTCACAGTCTTTTATTTACAACAATTTCAAAGCAATTTTATATTTTTTATATATTTATTTTTATAATTATAAATTGAATTCTGAACTATTCAGGATATTTATTTTTATAATTATTCTAATAGGCCCCCATATCTGTTGATATTATTTTAAAGAATGCAAGTAATTGCCTCAAATAATGCCTGTCTTTTGTCTTTAAAAACGAGCGCGTTAATGAGATAATATCGGGTGTCTACTCAAGCACTGTGCGGACGTGGCACTTGGTGCGATGGGTCTTCAATTCCTTGGGAACTGTCCGGGCGACGGCCTCTGCATGTCCCGCGCTTCCACACAACTTCCGTCGCGGGGGATGTTGGAAATTCTCCCCACCTACGCCCACGCCCACACTTCAGGATCCTTGGATACTCGTTCGGACTCGTTTATTAAAATTGTCTTGCCTGTGTCAGATTTTCTTGTCAGACTGTCTCTGAATCGCCGTGCGTTGTTTTGGTATACTATCCACAATGAAATCACAAGACGACACCATGTGGCGAGATCTCGCCGGTCACAAGCTAATTTCTGTCCTCTCTTGTATAGTTCAACGAGGGGGTGGGAATTGTGTACAAGTGGCGCTATCTGCACAAAGTGAGGCACTTTCAAAGTGATGCGGTGTGCTGTCTGCACATTGCGATTTGATGCATTACGAGGTCTCGAAGGCGCGAGTCATTTCAAATGTGCACACCACACACTTAATTCTAGGCGAGAATTCCCACTAGGCAACTCTGTGACGACTATGATCAATGTTATGCAGTTGAAGGTAAGAGGATAGAAAGATACGGAGTGAGAGATCGGGTAATTATTTCTTTAGGTTATGGGGGACGAAACATCTTTTGCGAGAAAGCATTCGATTCTTTCTGCACAGTTGTTGAGTACACGCACTGTATTATTATATTTTGTTCTGTAGTACTAGTGCTGAAAAGACTTTTATAGCATCTTAATGACTGCGCCAATAAAACATTTTCACATCGTCGTAGATAAATGAATGAAGATTCGTATTAAATATGAATAGCAATATGGTCGCTAAAAATATTACATTATTTCTTTATAAGACTTTAAATTGAATGTTTATTACATGATATTAAACAACAAAAAGTTGATGTATTTCTTAGTGAAGTTACATTATGTGCACTTTTGTTAGAAAGTCGCTGCTATCATGAGATCAGCATGCAATGCAACCAATGCGGTGTTTTTTATTTACTTGTACTATCCGATGAAATGTGAACTGAATGAGAGAAGAAAACTACATGAAAGGAAACAATTAAATTGTTTTATAATAAAAGAGGCAGAAATAACTGGTATAAAAATAAAGAATTTATGACATTACATAGACTTAAATGCTATTGCATTTTTCTTCATTTTCAAAATTAAAAATCATACACATTTCTTTCCAATATAAACTTCGTATTATTTTTAGTCCTTTTTTGCGCTTTAGAATCGACAGCCATATTTGCTTTTGAGTTTAATATATTCAGGAGTGGATTGTGATTCCGATAATTGTCGTCAAAATTCTGTGTTTTTCTTACAACTACCACATGAAAACACCATAAAGAAAGAATAATGAAAATAAAAAACGAAGATCAAAAACAATTTTATCATAACATTGTTAAAAATTATTTATGAACATTATTTATTATGAAGAAATATTCTCAATAAATAATCATTGAAAATGCAAGATATACAAACTTGTATTTTTTATTCATAAGTTATGGCAATTATTTTTTGTCGAAACTACTTTTTCGCAAGAATTTTAATAAATTTTATTAATTAGATCGCTGGTGAGGAAGATACCTTCCATTATTACGATAAATAAATGTGTTTGAAATTTAATGAAGTGTAATTTTTAAAGATGATACTGAATTGTTTGTGAGTGTGAAACCATCTAAAAATGAAATTTAGAAATCATAATTTTATTCTCGCACAACTCATTTACAAAATCATGTGAACAAGTTATTGAATATGCTTCAAAATAATATTTGTTTACAATTGGTTTCAAGCTACGGAAATGGAAAAATACCGTTGTCTGCCTGAGTTTCATTAACATGTGCCACCTTACGATGAACTAAAGAAGTCATTGCAATGTCTTTTCCAACAAACTGATTCTCGATTTAAAGTTTGGTATCGAAACTTACCAAGACGTCGCATCTTTCATGTTCTTGTTCTTCAAGCCTTTTTCACCCTCTGCATTGACGAATAATATTAAACTACAGTCATAGGGAACATGGTTAGGCTCAAAGCTGTACGATCACAACATAAATGAAGTTAATTTTTTTCTCAAGAAGTAACTTAAAGGTTATCTGTAGTTTCTTCAAACACATGTGTAGAATATTTGACTTTGGCACATTTTCAAGAAATTTAAACTAACAATTGGTTTCAAGCTACGGAAATGGAAAAAATACCGTTGTCTGCCGCAATAAATTTCATAAAAAGAGATTCATGAATAATATATTATCATAAATTATTCGTGTGTTATTTGAAGTTGTTTTTGTTAAATTTGGCTTGTCTGATAGACCTTTCTAACGTCTACACTATTAAAAATTATTTCCCTTTTATCAAAGTCAGAAGTAGATTAACCATTATACTCTTATATAAATAGGACATACATCGTGATTAAGTATTCATGAACGTTCCTGGAAATAATGGAAGAGTAAATTTGCTAACGGTAAATACTGTGGTAATTTTTTAAACACAATTTGTGTAACGTTTCTTAAATATTTTTTTATAAAATACAATCATTGAGAAAAATCTTTTATTTCTTTCAACTCTAAACATAAATATTGATAAACGTATCTGAATACTAGAAATAAATAATTTGCGATTAAAAGTAATTTTATTGCCAAAAACATAAAATATATGTTTAAACATTAATGTTCCTTAAATGTTAAAGTTATATTAGCAATGATTTTAATGCAACACGTTAGATCGTCCTATTTATGACGTCCGTAGAGCTTAATTACGCGGTTACAAACTAAAAATATAGCGGTGGCGCGGCGCCTGGAGAGTAGATATCCAACCATTCGCGTCACATAAGTCTGCGCATGGGAATGTGTGGCGCAATCGGAGACATCACCCAACAGGTCCCCGGCGCCCCGTGCGGATTAGTTGAAAAAATTGCGATGCGTGTGTGTGTGAGAAGGGGAGTGGCGGACAATATGCCACACCCTCGCGCCAGGGGGGTTGTGGTTTACAGTCACTGGCAGATGAAGGCTTGGGTTTATTGGTCTCGGCTCAGGGACGCCACCCTATGTGGGGAAAGATGGATTCGGGTGCAAAAGGGAAATGACTTCTTATTTATCCTTTTAGACCCAGATCATACAGTTTTTTAAACTACCAATGGCATGGAGATAAAAGTAATCAATCAAAATTTATGTGCGATTAGTTGATAATTTACCAAAATGAATGTTCAATTAGTTTCGTTTATTCCGTATTAACGGGAAGACGGAGAAATAGATTTAGACATTTTTATATACTTACGTAAACGTTGTACTGAAACTTATTTTAGCGAAGACTCCATGTGTGAGTAGCGGCAACCGCACTCACCTAAGTCATCAACAAAAGACGTAAACAGAATTTGACAAATTGGAGCTGGATGTAATTATTGACAATATTTGAACAATAAGATGACAACCAAACTTATTTCAAACTATTCATCTTTCATTACGTTGTTCACTTTCTTTGATCGATCTGAATTTCTCTGATCGTTGATCTTACGACATCTTACTACAGATTCCAATCCCAAGCAGGTTCGAATAAACATGTACTCTCTACGTCTTATAGAAGTCAGTTTCTTTTCGAGTAATCTTTCCTCTAGAGCTGATGACTATGAATTATCTCTTTCTCTCTCTCTTTCTCTCTCTCTCTCTCTCTTTCTCTCTCTCTCTCTCTCTTTCTCAAAGAGAGAAAGAAAGAAAGAAAAGAAAGAAGAAAGAAAGAAAGAGAGAAAGAAAGAGAGAACAGAAAGAAAAGAAAGAAAGAAAAAGAGAGAGAGAGAAAGAGAGAGAGAAAGAGAGAGAGAGAGAAAGAGACAGAGAAAGAGAGAAAGAGAGAGAGAGAGAAAAGAGAGAAGAGAGAGGAGAAAGAGAGAGAGAAAAGAGCAGAGAGCAGAAAGAGAGCAGAGAAAGGAGAGAAGAGAAGAGGAGAGAGAAGGAGAGAGAGAAAGAGACGAGAGAGAGAGAAGAGAGAAAGAGAGAGAGAAGAAAGAGAGAGAGAAAGAGAAGGAGAAGGAAAGGGGGAAAGAGGAGAGAATAATTCCAGTTCATCAGCTCTCGAGGAAAGATTACTCGAAAAGAAATGCACTTCTATCAGACGTAGAGGAGTAGTACTGTTTAATCGAACGCCTGCTGGGATTGGAATCTGTAGTAAGATGTCGTAAGATCAAACGATTAGAGAAATTCATGATCGATCACAAGAAAAAGTGAACTACGTAATGAAGGTGAATAAGTTTGAAATAAGTTTTGGTTGGGCATCTGATTGTTCAAATATTGTCAACAAATTACATTCCAGCCTCCAATTGGTTCAAATAATTTCTTTTTACGTCTTTGTGATGACTTAGGTGAGTCGCGTTGCCGCTACTCACACATGGGAGTCTTCGCTAACACAAGCTTCCAGTTACAAACGTTTTTTACGTAAGTATATAAAAATGTCTGTAATCATTTCTCCGTCTTCCCGTTAATACGGAATAAAACGAAACTGAATGTGAACATTCATTTTGTTATTATCAACTAATCGACATAAATTTTGATTGATTACTTTTATCTCCATATGCCATTGGTAGTTTAAAAAAACTGTTATGAGCTGCGGTCTAAAAGGTATGAATA